CCCATCAGCGGTTACGATTTCCGTGTTTGAGTTAACATAAGTTGAACAGCAAGTCAACTACTCAATGAGCCATCCTTTACGGAATTAGCTAAGCACGTAACTAAGCCTGTTTCGCCGGAGGAGCGGTGCGATTGAGTGAGGTAAAGATAGCTCAGTCATTCATCATACTGTGAACAAAATGGATCCCAGCGGAAAGTTCAGCTCCTAAACACTTAAACTGTTGCTGTGGCCCCGAAAAGTTTTTCATTCATACGAAAATTTCCTGGGACGTTCAAAGCTATTTACTTAATAAAGTCAAGTGATTTTATGATCCAGATTACTATTAGCAGAGATACGCCTGCTCGAATGTAGTATTGTCAGGAAACGGCTGGAATAAGGCCAAGACCTGGCGTGAAGGTATAGAAAACCTAACCAGGACAGTGGGTTACATAGGTACTGCTAGGCTTTCTGGATAGGGACTTCGAGACAATTGTAACAGGTGGTTAGAAACACTGAATGATCTGGTTGGGTGTCGAAACAAGGGCGCTCGTTCACCCATTCATTATTCTTGCAACTCCTGTCTATATGAATTCTTTATCTTCCCTCAGCATTTCAATCTTCATTCGGCTCTTCTATACAAATGGGCAGCCGAAAGACAGCAACGAAAACCGCCGCATTGAAAAGCATAGCTGATGGCTTTGAAAACTGAAACTGTAGTCGAAAATAGCGATTTCGTTTTTCTAGTGCTGAACAGGGTTCAGAAACTCTAGAGCTGTGCAAAAATGTGAACAACGGCAGTTTCTTTGCTTCGTGCGTTCTTAACATTCAGTGAAACAATCAGGCAAATCAAAAGAACAGACAATACAAGGATCCGCGTTCGACAGAGAGCGTCTTGGGGCAAACATCGAATATATCAGAACAGGGTCGTAATCTGTTAAATTATGTTGTTTTAAAGACAATACAAACCTTGGGTGGCATATACAATAAGCAAGCGACACACAAAGGCGAAAGAATCTCGTGTGGTAAAACTCTTCAAACCATACACGGTGGTGGGATGAAAATTCTTAATACAAAGGCATTGAACACAGCCGGCTTCAAACAGCGCCCGATAAGTGGAAGTCATTAGAACCTAATTCACGTCGCTGTATCCAGAAAATAGACAGAAAAAAGATAAACGGAGCCAACACCTCAGGGGTAGAGTTAAATTAAATTAAGTCTGTGTAACTGACCGCTTCAGTTTCAATGTCAGAGCTTAAAGTAGGAAATTCCCTGGTGGTAAGGGGCTCTTTGAAATTGTTACAGATCAACTTAGTGCTTTATCAAAACTGCAAAACCCGTTTCAAATATTCACAGAAGATAGGATAATTTCAACCTTCTCTTCGTGCTTGAGTTTTAGCCGAAAGGCTTGCAATTTTCCTCCCGTCAATTATTAAGCAGTGATCAGAAAAGCAGCGTACTTATCCGTGCGTTTGATGATTTACATTTTCATCACGAATTCAGACACGCTATCGAACCTCCAATCGTTTACGGTTGGCACCTATTGTACCATAAATGGATAGCAAGTTGTAACGATCTGATCCCGAAATGACGAGCGTGGGTAGCTGCTATCAAAGAGTCTACCGACTTGTATGCACAAAACATCCTTGGAGATGATCGACAGTTCGACAAAGAGAAACGCAAATAGCCGAAAGACGGTACCGAAAACTACCTCACCTCTGAGAGAGGATGCTGGCATAGGTTGCCGAATTGTTGATATCCAGGCGGTTTGAATTGATTATGACGTACTGCTCGGTCAGACCGTATGCACGAATGCAATTTACTCCGTTTAAGGTTTCTGAGAAGTGTGAAAAGATGGGCGAGCGCGACACAGATTCGATTCGTTTTAGTTGCCTAGAGTTAGCAACGTAAATAGTCTGTGAAATTGGAGTGAAACAGAAAAAAAATCGTTTAGGTAGCAAAATAAAATGTTTCGTAAAGCAATTTTGCAATCAGTTGGATTGAGGGGAACGGATCAAAAGTATCAGAAACATTGGGATCTACGTGTACAACCATTAACAAACCTATTGCATGAGAAAGTGATCATAATTCAGACATGAAATTCTGATATAATTCCAGCTTATATGTATGAGTGGAGAACCATTCTACCCGTAAACGAAATAAACTTAACATACAACCGTATTGCATGCAACAGCAACAACAACGAGTACTCTCAAAACGAGCAATTAGTTAAACACAAATCAACCCCAACGAAGGACAAGGTTTTTGAAAAAAGAATGGGAACCTATAGGTGCATTTGCATCTTATTAATCATTTATAATAAATGCGTATAAGAAAGCCGGGTTTAAAAGCCAGAAACAAAGCAATTTAGCCAGATGTCAAATCATCCTGCATTCTCATTAAAAATTCGCATTTAATTTGTTTGTGTACAAATGTGTACCAAAAGCCATGTAAAGCGGAATTACGGTTTCAGGCCTCTTCAAATCAACCGGGCAGGGTGGGAATGTAAGGAAAATACCTTGAAAGCAAATTTTGGTAAATACAGGGAAAAGGGGCGAGAAAAACCCAGATCACCGGTAGTAACTGAAACCAGTTCATAATAGCAATTTACAGGAACCTAGGAAGATCAAATGATAAGCATACACGGGGAAATCTAGTGTACCTGAAGCATCATATACAGCNTACAGCACAGTCAAACACAATATCGGAATGGTACTCCACGGGGAGACTGCACAAGCCATACACAAAGTGAGGGTACACGTCAGAAGACAAGTAAGGGCACTTCGCATCGTATGCACCAAAGGACCGTCAACTGTGGCTACGTCCTGCGAAAATCGATTGATGACTCGACCCTGGAGAAAAAAGAAAACATTTGAATTGACATGGTTTCCAGTCTTACGGAATCAAATAGGTCAGTGAGTTATTGTGCAAGGGTAAATTTGCTGGTGAAATCCAAATTTATAAAACAAGCTGACTAAAGATATTATAAACGAAGTAAAAAATATCAGTTAAATTTAAAAATGGGTGAACTCTAACTATGGACTCAATAAATCCATCATTGGCTGTCTTTTTCGTCACCCCGGAAACTACTTCCTTTGGTGCTTAAATTTTGATAGCTATGATCATGCAATGATGTGCTCATGAGCATACCTAGCAGAACAGATTAATGAACACATGCTCTGAGGTTACGACCAGCTGAAAGAACACGGTGAGGTCTATGACTGATTTGTACGGGTGGTAGCCAAAATGAGTCCGTGTATCTATCAGTGCATAGACGCGACCACTATTGC